AGAAGTCAGTGTATCAGTAGATGTCCAAGTTCTCTTTATGAATTTCCTGTGTATGTTCGTGATAGTTTTTTTTTTTTTTTCTAAATGTGATATTGTAATTATTTTGGTCCACTTATTTTAAGGCGACAGTGTGGTCGGAGAGAGTGAAGGGTAGGGAGAGAACCTTCTGCTATACTATACTACTCTATCATCATGTCCCTAGACAGAAGTAGACATAGGCTATAGCTGTTACTCGTCAGAGAGCCTATTCGGAGAGCCTATTCAGTATAATTTGATCTCTCTCTCTCTCTCTCTCTCTCTCTCTCTCTCTCTTTCTCCCCTTCCCAGCCATTGCCTTCAAATTTTCTCTTTTGACCAAATTTTCCTCTTATATATTTTCCCTGCGATCTAAATATGGCAGCTCCTTGAAGATTTCATTTTTCCCCTGCAGTCACCTTTTCTTCCCTGCAGTCACCTTTTTTCCCCTGCACTCGCTCCGAGAACTTCCCCTTATCAGAATTTTCCTCTTAGTATAATAAAACAAATCTCTTGCGGGTTTCCTCCGTTTTAGAAGTGGTTCATGGTTTATGGCTTAGGGCTTTCTGGCTGGTTTATAGCAGGGTTTTTCCCCTTTGTATTGTAATGTTCGTCCATTGGGTCTTCTGTGAGGTTTACCTCATTCATTTGTAAGTTTTTTTCCGATTGAGATTAATATTGCGGTTTTTTAGTGTTTCATTTAGTGCTGGGTTTATATCTCTTTTCTATTGAGTTTATGTCTGCTTTCTATTGGGTTTATATCTGTTTTCTATAGGGTTTATATCTGTTTTCTATTGGATTTATATCTTTTTCTGTTGGGTTTATATCTGTTTTCTGTTGAGTTTATATTGTTTTTTACTGGGTTTATATTTATTTTCTATTGGGTTTATATCTGTTTTCTACTGGGTTTATATCTGTTTTCTATTGTTTATGTCTGTTTTCTATTGGTTTATATCTGTTTTCTATTGAGTTTATATATATTTTCTATTGTGTTTATATCTGTTTTCTATTGGGTTTATATCTGCTTTCTATAGGTTTATATCTGTTTTCTATTGGGTTTGTGTCTGTTTCCTTTTTTTAATTTAGTTTATCAGGCTGTTGCTATCGAATCTCTGTATACCTACGGAACACCCGTCATCAATGGAGAAGTCTTCAGTTAGAGCTGATACACTTGGGATTTAGGGGTGGTCACAACACAACTTGATCTTGCCTCAGTGGTGGAGCCTTTGAAGAACGAGTGGAGCACAACACCCACCTTAATGGTGGAGTCTTTGGAGAACGAGTGGAGCACAACACCCATCTTAATGGTGGAGCCTTTGAAGAACGAGTGGAGCACAACACCCGCCTTAATGGTGGAGCCTTTGAAGAACGAGTGGAGTACAACACCCACCTTAATGGTGGAGTCTTTGGAGAACGAGTGGAGCATATCACCCACCTCAGCGGTGGAGCTTTCGAACAACGAGTGGAGCACAACACCCACCTCACTGTTGGAGCCTTCGAAGAACGAGTGGAGCACTCACAGAACTGTGATCCTTGTTTAGTGATGCTGCAAGAAACTTGTGTAACACAACATGCACATAGTGTAAAATTAAGATGAGTGAAATGCAATACTCAGACGTATTGCGAACCTTATTTAGTGAACCTACAGTAAGATGAGTGAAACACACACACACAAGACGCATTAGTAACCTTATTTAGTGAACCTACAGTAAGATGAGTGAAGCACAACTCACAAAACGCATTAGTAACCTTATTTAGTGAACCTAAGTAAGATGAGTGAAAGACAACACACAAGACGCATTGCTACCCTTATTTAGTACACTTTATAAAAATGAGTGGAACACAACACCCACAAATATTCTTAGTCTTGTGTCGTGAACCTTCAAAGGCATTCTTTTTCACAGGCTGAGAGCTTTCATCCTCTCTCAGCTCATTTCAGCGCTGAGCCTTCTTTAAGGTATAACTATATTTTCACGAAACACTTCTCATAACTGTCATCTAACACACAAGTACCTATTTACCACTAGATAAAGAGGAAAATAAGGCTTACTCTTTACGTTTCGCCCGTCCCTGGATCGATCTGGTCATGTTGGTTGTGAACATTTTTTGACCAATAGGCAGCTAGATTACCTTTATGAATATTTAATTTAATAAATTACTCGCGTTATTAACTCTTCGAAGTATATTTTTTTAATTTTTTTTGATTCAGATTAACCTGTAAAAGTCTTTTAATTCTGTAAGATATTGTATGGTAGACTAATCTAGTAATATTTTTTAACTATCTTCAATTTTATAGAGATACAACCTAGTATTGTTCAGTCTGTGAATGTGTTTGTTAGTAGCCATCGGAAGTAACGTAACGTAACGACCGTCAAGAATATAGCAATATATCGATAACTCACGAATGTGAATAATCCAGCAGTGTCTTGTCACTCACGAACGTAAACAGTTGGTCAGCATTTGGGTTATTAACGAACGTATACAATAAAACTGTCTCATCTTTACTTAGCAACTTAAACAATCCAGGTGACTCATGTTCACTTAGGACCATAAACAGTCCAGAAGACTGTGGATTACTCACGAACGTAAACATGATAGAATCTGGTTCACTCTCAAGTGTATAGTAAAATTGGAGGCTATAATTATAACCTTAATTTTTAAAAGGGTAGAACGGAAAGCCAGCAGAAGGCCTCGATCAGATGGCCAAAAGTTCCAGCTATGGGTAATCATATGAGCAAGACCCACGTCAGGAAACACTTGTCCTCTTTCCTGACATACCTAATACCTACCTACCTACCTACCTCCTACACCTACTAACAAAAACCAAACCACAAACAACACAACAACAACAACAACAACACACAACAACAACACCACACAAACAACACAACAACAACAACAACAACAACAACAACAACTAATAATATAATAAATAATAATAATAATAATAATAATAATAAAAATAACAATAATAATAATAATAATAGAATAAAATAATAATGATAATAATAATATAATATAATAATAATAATAATAATATCACTTTTACTATTTTTATTATCATTATTATTGGTTTTATTGTCTTGATACTGATATAATATCAATAATAAAAATAATTATAATAATATTTCACAACTAGAGAACAAGGGTCGTCAGCAGTACCAAAAGTATTGTGGAGAGAAGAAGCAAAAATCTCTACACCTTAATGATCAATACGTAAGCAACAAAGGAAGGATCTGGAGACCTGTTTTGAACGCACCTAACGAGCGTCTTCATGAAACCTAAGCACCTTTAATAAGGATCTTATTGGATAATAGGTTCATTTTACCTATCTAACGAGGAGTTCTCAAGCAACTGTGATACTGGGAACTTTTCTTGATAAGAGATTTAGTTTATCTCACCTTCTATTGGATGACATTTCATTGCCTGTTATGTACCGAAGTAGAAACACTCTCTCCCCACAAAGGCGTCAGGTAAACTGAGAACGAAGCTGAAATTAACGGGTAGATTATGTCAAGTACACTAGTGCAAAGTATGGGGATGCTGGTGATACTTCTGATCCTCTGAGTTATATAGAATTTACAAGACATGTGCAACACTCGGGGTATCTTCATTGACGAAAAGTTTAGCCTGCATTACAGGTTTCTTCAGTAGAATGCAGGAGAATATAACACAAGGGGAGAATAGAAGTGATTTTAAGGGACTGACTGACTACCTCCTACCAAGACTGAGGCAGTCCAGTCCCTTGAAAATCATTTCTCTTACTCTCTCCAATATTATGTTCACCTGTATTCAACAGAGAAAAAAAATCTTTGTATCGGTAATAAAAATACCAAGGTGTTGCAAGTGTATCTAAGTCATCTACTTGCCGATATACACCCTTAATAACATATTTTTTTTATCCTGTATCTTCTGTCTGGGAGTAACCTTATTTTCCTTAATGATTTGCAATGTGTTGCTTTGATGTCAGGGAGCTGGGGAAAATAAGTCTTGCTTTTGTTTAACCTGGGTAGGTATTATGAGCTTTCCATGACGTTAAGAATGTGCTAACTTTGTATCCAAGTTTCTCTGAATATTAATCAGGGATTCTCTTTGAATTCTGATTTTTTTTAATCTCATTAGTCTATGATTAGTTCTGAGACACTGGTTGGTAGCTAATATATCACCTCAATCATTTTCATTACCTAATTATAGCCGTTAGCTATTTTTTGGTGGTTCTAACTCTCCTTATTAGTGGCTTCAGGGTTTTAATCGTGTTAGTAATTATTATCTTATGACTAAGCTTTTAAAAGCTTTCATCCCTAAATGGCGTTAGTGAGTTGTTATTGTACCCAAATTGGCCTTCTTAATGAAGATCCCAGCCTCATTGCCCTAGCTGAATAGTTTTGTCTCCTAACTACTCATGTTAATGGGGGTTCCTAGTTCAACTGCCCATGTGGGTTGGTTATTGCTCTCTAACCGCTCTCGGTTTCCTGATTAGGACGAAACATTTTCTTAAATATGTAGGAATTGCTGATAGACTCCAGAATTTATATCTATTTTTCTCTTCTGGCAAGACTCGTATGGTAAATATGAATTAGAAATCAGAGGAGGGAGAACAGAACCACATGAGAAACAGAACCACACTGGGCGGAACAGAACCACATTGGGTGAAACAGAATCACACTGGGTGAAACTGAACCACACTGGATGAAACTAAAGCACACTGGGTGAAACTGAAGCACACTGGGTGAAACATGACCACACTGGGTGAAACATGACCACACTGGGTGAAACAGAACCACACTGGGTGAAACTGAAGCACACTGGGTGAAACTGAGCTACACTGGATGGAAACACAAGCACACAGGATAGTAACATAAGCACACAGGTAGGAAACACAAGCATACAGGGAGGAAACACAAGCACACAGGGAGGAAACACAAGCAAATAGGGTGGAAAAAGAAGCAGGCGAATAAGCCTAGTCCCCTTTCGTCTTCCACCAGGTGTCGTGGATCCGCCGACGCGACTACCACATCCTCACTTCTGGTCTGCACACCTACAGCAGAGATGAACGCTTCGGTGTCGTCCGCCCAGAGGACGCCGACGACTGGGCACTACAGATAAAGTTCGTCCAGAAACGTGACGAGGGAGCCTACGAGTGTCAGGTAAGGCTTAAGCGTCAGGCATATCAACGCCTCTTAGTGAATAAACAGGAGAATAGACGCGGGCTCGAACCTTGGTCCTTGCATGTGGTAAGCCAAACGCTGTGGCAATAGGCCATGAAGCTGACAATAGGAATATTTTGCACACAGGACTCGTCAGTAAAGTAGGCATCAAGCATTTAAGCATCAATGAGATACGCATCAGTTATTTGTGCTTCAAGTATTAACATGTGTATCAGGTGAGGCCTCCCCTGATACACATGTGTATCAAGTGTAATAATTTAGCATAAACCATACAATATCGTAATTGTAACAATAAACCACACGTTGAAGACAAGGTTTATCTTTACAATGTTGCAGTGTATAAAAAATTAAACCTCAAGATACTGTGACTGCAATGACACAAAGATGTAGGATTCGTGTGGGAAGGTGATCCAAAGCAACACTAATATTCGTGCAAATAAATGGTCAGTAACTAACAAGTAGCGAATTTGTTGAAGATAGTGATAAGAAAAACAGATTTATCAATTACTATCATCAGTTTATTATTTTTGAACTGACAGGATTCTAATGTATTTTTCATTTATTTAAGTGGAGTGAATAATCATGAAAATGGAAAGAAACCGAAATGTAATTTACGTGCAAAACAAATGTGTATATAAATGTTTATGAGTGATGCTGGCAAAGGTTGGTGCATGTTGTGATCTAAATAAGAGATCTCTCACACACATACACACACAGATACACACACAGGATGTTTCAGAGATGGGACACAGCAACAAGGGAGGGGATTACAACTGGAAGTTGAAGACTCATATGAGTTACAGGGATGTTAGGAATTATTTCTTTAGTCAGAGGGTTGTCAAGAAGTGGAACAGTCTGGAGGTTGATGCAGTGGACGCAGGATTCATACATAACTTTAAGAAGAGGTATGATAAACCATTCATGGAGCAGGGAGAGAGTAGACCCAGTAGCGACCACTGAAGAGGCGGGGCCAGGAGTTTTAACTCGACCCCTGCAACCACAAATAGGTAAGTACTCCATACTCACCACTCACACAATCTCACACATACACACACACGCACACACACACACACACACACACACACAAACACACACACACACACACACACACACACACACACACACACACACACACACACACACACACACACACACACACACACACACACACACACACACACACACACACACACACACACACACACACACACAACGCATCTTCTTGGACTGCAAGAAGGAGTTTGACACAGTTCCTCACAAGAGATTAGTGCAGAAGCTAGAGAATCAGGCGCATATAACAGGAAGGGCACTGCAATGGATCAGAGAATACCTGACAGGGAGGCAACAACGAGTCATGGTACGTAATGATGTATCACAGTGGGCACCTGTGACGAGCGGGGTCCCACAGGGGTCGGTCCTAGGACCAGTGCTATTTTTGGTATATGTGAACGACATGATGGAAGGGTTAGACTCAGAAGTGTCCCTGTTTGCAGATGATGTGAAGTTAATGAGGAGAATTAAATCAGATGAGGACCAGGCAGGACTTCAAAGAGACCTGGACAGACTGGACACCTGGTCCAGCAAAGGGCTTCTCGAATTTAATCCTGCCAAATGCAAAGTCATGAAGATAGGGGAAGGGCACAGAAGACCACAGACAGAGTATAGGCTAGGTGGCCAAAGACTACAAACCTCACTCAAGGAGAAAGATCTTGGGGTGAGTATAACACCGAGCATGTCTCCGGAAGCACACATCAATCAGATAACTGCTGCAGCATATTGGCGCCTGGCAAACCTGAGAACAGCATTCCGTTACCTTAGTAAGGAATCGTTCAAGACACTGTACACCGTGTATGTCAGGCCCATACTGGAGTATGCAGCACCTGTTTGGAACCCGCACTTGATAAAGCACGTCAAGAAACTAGAGAAAGTACAAAGGTTTGCGACAAGGTTAGTTCCAGAGCTAAGGGGAAAGTCCTATGAAGAAAGATTGAGGGAAATCGGCCTGACGACACTGGAGGACAGGAGGGTCAGGGGAGACATGATAACGACATATAAAATACTGCGTGGAATAGACAAGGTGGACAAAGACAGGATGTTCCAGAGAGGGGACACAGAAACAAGAGGCCACAATTGGAAGTTGAAGACACAAATGTGTCAGAGAGATATTAGGAAGTATTTCTTCAGTCATAGAGTTGTCAGGCAGTGGAATAGCCTAGAAAATGACGTAGTGGAGGCAGGAACCATACACAGTTTTAAAACGAGGTTTGATAAAGCTCATGGAGCGGGGAGAGAGAGGCCCCAGTAGCAACCGGTGAAGAGGCGGGGCCAGGAGCTAAGACTCGACCCCTGCAACCACAAATAGGTGAGTACAAATAGGTGAGTACACACACACACACACACACACACACACACACACACACACACACACACACACACACACACACACACACACACACACAAACTATTTATGAGCTACAGGAGAGCGAGGGAAGGAGACAATGAAATACGGCAGGAAGAAAAACGGAAAATTGAAAATATCATAAGAACATAAGAACATAAGAAAGGAGGAACACTGCAGCAGGCCTGTTGGCCCATACTAGGCAGGTCCTTTACAATTCATCCCACTAACAAACATTTGACCAACCCAATTTTCAATGCCACCCTAGAAACAAGCTCCGATGTGCAAGTCCCACTCAAATTCAACCCCTCCCACTCATGTACTTATCCAACCTAAATTTGAAACTACCCAAAGTCCTAGCCTCAATAACCCAACTAGGTAGACTGTTCCACTCATCAACTACCCTATTTCCAAACAAATACTTTTCTATGTCCTTTCTAAATCTAAACTTATCTAATTTAAATCCATTACTGCGGGTTCTCTCTTAGAGAGATATCCTCAAGACCTTGTTAATATCCCCTTTATTAATACCTATCTTCCACTTATACACTTCGATCAGGTCTCCCCTCATTCTTCGTCTAACAAGTGAATGTAATTTAAGAGTCTTCAATCTTTCTTCATAAGGAAGATTTCTAATGCTATGTATTAATTTAGTCATCCTACGCTGAATGTTTTCTAACGAATTTATGTCCATTCTGTAATATGGAGACCAGAATTGAGCTGCATAATCTAGGTGAGGCCTTACTAATGATGTATAAAGCTGCAGTATGACCTCTGGACTTCTGTTGCTTACACTTCTTGATATAAATCCCAGTAATCTATTTGCCTTATTACGTACGCTTAGGCATTGCTGTCTTGGTTTAAGGTTGCTGCTTACCATAACCCCCAAGTCCTTTCGCAGAAAGAAATAGGCGAGGGAGACATGACTGAGATAGGAAATTTTCAGAGAATAGGGGAGTACGACAGCAGCTGAGGCAGAGGACACAGAAGCGAAAAGGGATAGGAAGAGAGACAAGGACAGAATCAACAGAGGAGAACCAGAGCAGGGCAGAGCAACAAGCGCAAACACACACACAGAACCACTTCCAGAACCCCCACAACCAAACACGGTTTTCCAACACAAACTACAAACCACACTTACAGCCCCCACCCTAAAGTACGCTGTAGAATTCCACAGCACGCTGCCAGGTCCCCCACCATCACAGACCCCCAGAACACAATGTTAGAGGGGAAACTGAAATTATGGTACACCAACGCTGATGGATTAACTAATATGTGGAAAGAGTGGCACGAAAGAGTCAAACAGGCATCACCGGACGTCATAGCTCTTACAGAAACTAAGCTCACAGGAATGATAACAGATGCCATCTTTCCAACGGGATATCAGATCCTGAGGAAAGACAGGCAGAAAGAATGGAGGGGGTGGAGTGGCACTGCTCATCAAAAACCGATGGGATTTTGATGAGATAGATGGAGGAGACAAAGGAGAAGCATGAGACTACATAATAGGAACACTTCAGTCTGTAGGTCTCAAGGTGGTAATTGCAGAGATGTATAACCCAACACAGAACAGCAGGAGGCCAAGGAAAGAGTATGATGAGAGTAATAGAGCAATGGTTGGCACACTGGTTGAAGTGGCCAGAAGGGCTCATGCAAGCAGTGCAAAGCTGCTGATTATGGGTGACATCAACCACAAGAAAATCGACTGGGAGAACCCGGAACCTCATTTGGACCCAGACGGCCCCAGTGAGGCTCCGGGTTCTCCCAGTCGTTATTTCATCAGCGTTGGGGCCCAGATGGCCCCAGTGAGGGCTAAGATGATGGAAGTGGTACTGGAAACACCTCATATACCAACACGTAAAGAACACTAACAGAAAGAGAGGAGAGAATGAACCAGCAAGACTTGACCTAGTATTCACATTGAGTGCAGAAATTGAAGACATCACATATGAAAGACCCCGTTTTTCTGAGCTTCGAATACATAGTAGAGTTACAAGTGGAGAGGAAAGTAAGCAGGATAGGACGAATGAAGGAAAATTACAAGAGAGGGGACTACACAGGTATGAAGAATTTCCTGCACTGGGTTCAGTGGGACAGAGAACTGGTCGGGAAGCCAGCAAACGAGTTGATGGAATATGTGATAACAATATGCAAGGAAGCTGAGGAAAGGTTTGTACCCAAGGGTAACAAAAATAACGAGAAAGCCATGATGAGCCCTTGGTTCTCCCAGAGGTATAGAGAGGCCAAAACCAAGTGTGCTTGAGAGTGGAAGAAGTATAGAAGGCAAAGGACCAATGAGAATAAGGAAAGAAGTCGTAGAACAAGAAATGAATATGCACAGGTAAGAAGGAAGGCCCGACGGAAATGCGAAAATGACATACCAGCGAAAGCCAAATCTGCCCCGAAGCTGTTGTACAGCCACATCAGGAGGAAAACAACAGTCAAGGACCAGGTAGTCAGGCTGAGGAAGGAAGAAGAGATCACAAGAAACGACTGCGAGGTATGTAATGAAAACATGAGATTCAAAGAAGTGTTGACAGAGGAGACAGAAGGGACTCCAGAAAGACGGAGAGGTGGGGTA